CAATGCTAATAAAATATTTCTGCCTAACATTAAAATGAGTTATTTCAAACATAAGCTTTTAAAAGATATATTGGATCCAACATCAGATCGATATTAGAAACAAATAGCAATGATATTTAAAAGGCCATTCAAAGGATTGAGTTAATTGTACTGTACAGTTTTGTAGCATCAAAATCACACTTTATGTCTGAATCTTACACAAGTTTTCACACTGAAAAAATGTCAGACATACTTCAAGGAGTTCTTGTACACTTGTACAAATTTTAAAGAGCTGTATATTCTATATACATGGAAAATGAATTCTTTAGAAGAATATGTCAGATAACAGTATCATCTTCTCTTCCTTCTTTATATTATTTATGTAGAGAGAAAAAAAAAACTATTGTAGTCTTGCACCAGTGGTGGGTTGCCCCCGGTTAGGACCAGTTCTATAGAACCAGTAGTAAAACCAGCAGGAGGCTCCGCCCACCGATCCCAATGTCATCAGGAAGCTTCTGCACATGCGCAGAAATGCGCACGCATGGCTCCGTTGCAAACCGGTAGTAAAGGTAAGTAGAACCCACCCCTGTCTTGCGCCCTATATCACTTGCATTATTTCCTACAAGTACCTATTCTGAAGATGATCTCTCCTACCCCTTAAAAAGATAATAACATTAAGCTAAAATAAAACTATGAGTAAAGAAAGATGTAGCTTCTCATCAATTAAAAAGAAGGGGTGAATGTAACCAAATGCTGAGTAGTAGCTACCAGCCTCTACCAGCCTGATCTGATAAATGTTAGCCATGTAGACATGAAAGTGGGACATCTCATTACTAATTACCAATGGAGGCAAAGGTCTTCACATTTGGAAAAAAATGAGCACAGCATGCTGATGAGAGAGAGAATCAATTGCAACTTTGCATGTATAGGAGGAATCAGTGGATGGTGAAACTATCAGAGGTTGTTTCAAAAGCAGAAAGTGCTATGCTTGGGTAAAACAACGTTGCTCTTTACTTTTTTTACACAGAGCAACTGAAGAAAATTGCTTTTTGTGACTATGGAAGCAACAATATGTGTTATCTTGAGGACTTTACAATTTTACAACAACAAAAAAAAAAACCATCCATGAGGGGAAGAAAGGAAAGAGAAAAGAAGAAGAAAAGTCGATGTTTGCTTCAGTAATGTGCATTTAGGATTACTGCAGAGCATGGCAATTTAGAGTGGAATATATCTAAATAGTCATATTTTTAAAATAAATAATTTAATCAAGACAGTGATGACCTTTGAGGTGTCACTAATGACAACCTCCAACCAAAATGGCAAATGGTGTGGGATGCTGCAGTTCAGTGACATCAGGGGAATTAAAACATTTGCTGCCCAATCATATCCAGGCCTAATGAGCTGTGAGGCCTACAGAGTTCAATGGGGCTTAATCCTAGCGAGCATGCATAAATTACAGCCTTATTGTTTTTAGTTGGCTACTTCAGGCAGGATATGCATAATAATGTAATATTGTTACGTTTCATATATAATATATATAAAAGCTGGAGGGGGGGGGGATACTTAAAGCAAAACTTTAAAATCCATGCTTGTACAGAGCCTATGCATTTAATCTGTGTAAACACGCAATGAAATGAAGAACACGTCTTTGATCCCAAGGTACCTGTATTACACTCCCACACAACTCATTTTGCCCAGAGAGAGCAGTAAAAACATAAACGCTACCCCAGCAGTTCTTTTCCAAGCGCATCTGTTAATTCACTCCATTTATAAAATACATATTGACAAAGACAACTGTACTGGGACCAGGGAGATTTGATTTGGTGTGAGAAAGTCAATTCAATGTGATTTTGTTAAAGGGCTCCTGCAGGCAAATAAAAAGAGTTTAAGTAATAAAGTACATAAAGAGATGTTTTATGAAGCAATGCTTTCCAGTGGCAGCCACTCATTGTGCTGCTTTAAAAGGGATAGACTTCAGAAAAAAAATATAAGATAATGTTTCCCGTGTTCTTCTGAGCTGAAACACTGAATGTTTCACATAAGGTCAATGACAGAAGACCAGCCCCAGTTTAGGCTTTGTTTGTCAGGAGAGAAGGGAAATATTTTTCTTCTATGGTACTATCATTAATTTATTGAAAAAGTTATTTATATATACATATACCAACCAAAATTTAGCCTTTTAGGATAAGTGGTATTATGCAAAGCTCAAAACAAGAACAAGCAAAAATAATTAAAGGAGAGAGAGAGAGGGAGAGGGCGGGAGGGAAACAAACAAACAAAGACAGACAGACAGACAGAAAGACAGAAGGAAGGAAGGAAGGAAGGAAGGAAGGAAGGAAGGAAGGAAGGAAGGAAGGAAGGAAGGAAGGAAATTCCATAACTTTCTATCCCTGTAAAGCATCCTTCCATATTCAGCTTTATTCATGCATTTTGTTCTTTACATTTTTCACTTCTTTCTTTTTGAATTCCACCAAATTCATCACTTTCTAACTTTCACAGTCTTCCCTTTCACCCTTTCTTCATGTATTTATTTTGCTGTTAGATCCTTAAAAAGGTGGTTGTATCTACTATTTCTTGAAATGAGTTGGAACTGAGTCCTTTTTCATATTAACTTTCCTCTTTTTCCCATCTGCTTGATTGTTGTGATTTCTTCTGCTTAATCAGATTCATTCTCTCTATATGACCAAAAAAAATGATCATAAATTGAGGGCATTTCCCTAAAATTTAATTTTGATATTACCGGAGTCCCAGAATGATATAAACCACTTAATGGAGAAAGATTTTGGCACTATATTAGCTAGTTTAAAATTAATAAACCAAAGACAAAGATGGTGCTTAAAAATATGTCTATATAAGACCAAGAGATTTTGATGAAGAAAACTGGTTTCAACATAAAGAAGATGGTTAAATATCTAGAGTTCACACTGATCAATAGGAAATTGCTTCATAATAATGTTAAAATATGGGATGATATTAAAAAAAGAGTTAGCAATGTGGGACAAATTACAGTTGTGGCTATTGGGTAGAATTTCACTTACCAAGATGCATGTCGTACCCAGAATGTTATTTTTATTTCAAACTATATCAATATTGTCAACTGATTTATCTTTTAAACAAAGGAAGAAATGTATTTCCAAATTTGTATTGCAAGGTTAAAAAAAAAAATCAAATGTAAGTTGTTGCAAGATGATATAGAGAGTTGTACCTTACTTAAAATTGTATTTTGAAACATGTTGTATGACTGTTTTCTATTTGCCCACCACAATATTGCTGAAGCCATTATGCAGTGACCCACCACAACAAATCTGGTTTCCTGACAAAGGAATGCGCCAGAAGTAAGAGTTTTCAATTACAACAGAGACTCAGTTTAGTTTTTCATTTGTGTAGCACACTTTCGTTGATTTAAAGATAACATAGATTTTTATTGATAAAAGACAGTGAAAATTATCTAATTTTTTATTATTTATTCTTGGAGATAGCAAGTAGGATAATGTTGTTTCCAGAGTAAGTCATAAAATATCAGGAGTCAGGTATAACAACTTTTCATACCAATATATTTTATTGAAAAGCATAGATTTTTGTGAGTTCCAATTGACTTCATCAAAAGCATGGGCTAGATAAACTGATGTTGGATTTAAATAGGGATGAAGCATTTGGGGGGGAGGAAGGGAGGGAAAGACAGAAGACAATATGGTTATATAGAGTACTTGTAAGACAGACTACAAGTATTTTATCAATTGAGAAATGTAATGTATTATAAATGCATTGTGTGTTGTGGCCCACTAGCGGCCCGCGCGGATCATGGCTGATCCTGATGAAGAGGAGGCTGGTGTGGTATCGCGCCAGCAGCCTGCACAGCCAGCGCTCGCATCGGACAGCGAGGAGGCTGAAGAGGATGTGATGCCAGAGGCAGAGACTCAGCCAGGGCCTTCAGAACCTCCAGAGGCTCCTTCCAGTGGAGAGAGCGAAGTGGAGGAGCCTCTCCTCAATGCTCGGGCACACAGGGCTGCCAAAAGGCAGGAGTGGCTATTCAGGAGGAGGAAGTCTACTTGAAAGTAGGGCTTGAGGATAATTGGCCACTCCCTTAGCCTATTTAAGTTGCACGCAGCTAGTGCTTTCTTGCTAGAAACAACGTCTCATTACTACAGAGCATCTTGGAGAGCGAGCGACTTCTCATATCTGGTTTTCTGGGCTGGTTGCCAACCTTTGTCGGACTTTGTTCTTAATAACTTTGATAAGGACCCTTTGCACGGGAAGCCTGCATTCTTAAAAGGGGTTTGTTTGGAATTAAACAGTGTTTGAGAAGCTTGGTGTGTGTCACATTCTCTGGGAATCCGAAGCTGGGGCAGAACACTGTGCTTGTTGACATATTCTAAGAATGGAATTTTTAGAAGAATGTAAATTCAACAATATCTTACTAAATTGTGCTGGTAAACTCACACACACACACACACCTCCCCAAAAGTGGTTACTTTGACATCTGTAATGGAGTGTCCTGAGAGGTAGAAATGTTCTGGCATTACTTTATCCTTGTTTTGAATGATAATGTCCAACTTTTCTAAGCCTGTTTGGCCTGTTTGTTCTATGTAGAATCCAGTGAGGCATTGATGGCAGATGATAGCACATATCAGTTTTGAGGAAGTTTATGTGAAGGTGCAATTAAACCTGTATAGGAAGCTGTTGGGACCTGGTAGTATTGGTGAAAATGTGGGGGGATTGCAGGCAATCTAGGTAGCTCACAAAAAGCTTATTCTTTTCAATAAAATGTGTTAAACTGAAAAGGTACACCCAGACTCTTTCACCTTTTTGGTTATCATAGACTAACAAAGCTGTCCTCCTACAATGTCATTTAACATCAAAGTATATGGAAATTAATGATGTAACATAAAAATTGCAGTTTAAAAACTTCACAAGCTTAGTAGGATAGATAAGAGACAGAGGTTGGATGACACAACTTAGATCAAAAGTATTTGGCTATATTGCATTGAATTAGGTGTGCTGCAGACGTAAGACTGTATTACCTTCTTGTATTAACTCCTCTATTCTTCTATTTATAGATCTCTCTGGAAAACAATAATATTTTTTAAAAAAAGATTACTGTTGTAGACACTTTCAAGGTTATACATCTCTTTGTCAGATATGTCCTGGTTGTCTTTCAGTTATTGCCACTTAAAATATTTTCTTCACTACCTGCGTTTAAATCTCTCCTACACTTAATAATCAGCCTGGAGATTCAATTGCAGAACTTCTAAAAAAGCTGTCTTCTTTGATGAGTATATGCAATTTCATATGGAAAAAGCCGTCTTCCATGTTCTGACACAACACTCATGGAAGAACATTGTTTGCATTCTCCACAATGCAGCAGGGAGAGAAATTATGATGCTTGAATGCTAATACTATTAATTTTATCACATTCATCGCAACCCATCTCTGCTTGAGGATTCATAACTATATTTTCTGCTCTCCATATACTGATAACATTACTATGCTTTGCCTGACTCGCAAAATGCAAATACATGTCTTATATCATTTCAAACTGGCCAAATAACATTTTGAAAACATGCATGCAAAGAGTGGCATGCATAAATCTTTATAAAATAAAATGAATAATAAAAATGATAAGAACAATCAGAAGGAGTAAAAGAGATATAATCTGTTGAGATACTTAACCACTTTTCCACATTTTACTCAATCTAATTTTGAAGGCCTTCAAGTTACACCACTTGGAAATAATACAGATTCCTTTGTATTGTTTTATAAAAGGACCATTAGACATAAGACATAAAGAATTAGTAACCTTCTCATTAACCTCTCAAAATGGAATCCATTCCAAGCCAAGCTCTGAATACAACCAAGAGTCTTCCTAGTTAATTGTTATCCTTATCAAAAAATGACCCACATTAACATTTTCCTTGGGGTAATCAGAGTCTCTTTCTCTTTGTGTGTGTTTGTATATATATATACACACAGAAAGTGACCAGTATTGTTTTTGTTAGCCATACATGGAAAATGAAGGAGAAGAAAATAAACAAGAGTTTCTTTCCAGGAAACAAAAGTAACAAAAACACAAAATAACCATTGCCTAGTATTGACAACTGCTTGCTCTATTTGTTGTTGTTGCTGTTAAGAGCAATATGTTTTGTGTCGCTGTGCTTTACTTGCCTTTGTAAACAGCACTAAGTGTGTTAACAGAAATCACTGGAAAGGTCTAGAAGTCAGATAAATAATCATCTTCTTTTAGAACACTGAGATTAATGAGACTGACCAAAGCGTCTCCTCTAGTTCCTTGGGATATCATTTTTTGGGGGATGACATCATGGGAGACATTCTAATATTGTGATATATGAATGACTTCTGAATGCATTGAATTTAGGATGTGCTGCATAGCTTGGCAGAAATTCAAAGTCCTTCTGAGCACACACAATGTGTGCCAAACCATGGGTAATGCAGTCAATTTAGCTCCTGACCTCACAATTGCCTACAAAGAGATGTACGCATTAACTATCCAGGAAAAAGCTTTCCTTGAGCTACCAGACTTATTCCTTATAAACATGTAGCCTGTAATCAACGTGAAAAAAAATTAAATCAAAAGATGCTCAAAGCAAGCTTAAATTTGCATTGATAAATATCCCAGCATCTTAGGCAACATGGTATCGGTAAGGGCCAATAGACTGTGGATAGCTTCCTTGGCTCCATACGTCCCTGACTTTAATTAAAAAATAATTAACCTTTTAAAGGGCACTGTGATTTTGATGAATATCTTTGGATCCAAATAGGGTCTCAGAAGCATTTGAGGGAAATAAAAACAATAGCCAGTGTTTTCTTTGGAACTACTGTATGTATATCTGCCTCTCAACACAGCCAAGATAAACTGTTATGGCAACAAGTATCCTGAGGAGCAAGAACCAAGGGTGGGGAGGAGAGATTTCCCTTCAGTTTGCCTTCTGGCAAATAGGTGTTCTATAACTGGCAATGGGCCTCCTGGCAGCCCTTTTATGAGTAGGCAAACCATTCCCCCATGAAGCTATTTTTGTTTGAACACTCAGAATGCACTCTATAAAAAACCAATTGGCCCCATTTGCCCCCAAGGAGTTCTGATTTGTCATGTGAACAATCACAATGCATTTTTAATCAGAAATAACACAATAGCAGAAGAACAGAGTTGGAAGAAACCTTGGAGGTCTTCCAGTCCAACCCCCTGATCAAGCAGGAGGCCCTATACCCGTGATGGTGAAACTATGGCATGCGTGCCACAGGTGGCACGCAGAGCCCTCTCTGTGGGCACATGAGCCATTGCCCAGCTCAGCTCCACTACGCATGTGTGTGTGTGTCCCGCTGGCCAGTTGATTTTTGGGTCTCTGGTGCAGGGGCGGGGTGCATGCGGGACACACGTGCGCTTGTGCAGGAGATCTTGTGCACATGCGCAGTGGCAGGAAGGGGTCTTGCGTGCATGCGTGGGGGTGGGGGGTCTTGCATCCATGTGTGGGGGTTGGGGGAGCACGGGGGAGCAGTGCACCCCCCATGCCAAAACAGGCCACAGGGGGGTACGGTGTGCCCCCCCGTGGCCCGTTTTTGGTCCCAAGAGGCTTCAGGGAAGCCTGCCTAAAACAGGCCTCCGGGGGTTATGTGTTCATGTGTGGGGGGTTGTTGTGCATGTGTGGGGGGAGCGGGGGGGTCATGCATGCATGCGCAGGCGTGGGGTGTGTGGGGGGCATTGCATTATGGGTATAGGCACGTGTGTGTGTGCCCACCCGTGCTCCCCCCACTTTTGGCACATGGTGGCAAAAAGGTTAGCCATCACTGGCCTATACCATTTCACACAAATGGTTGTACCATCTCGTTTTACAAACTTCCAATGTTGGAGCATTCACAACTTCTGAAGGCAAGTTGTTGCACTAATTAATTGTTCTAACTGTCAGGAAATTTCTCCTGTATCTTAGGTTGCTTCTCTCCTTAATTAGTTTCCATCCATTGCTTCTTGTCCTGCCTTCAGGTGCTTTGGAGAATGGGTTGGCCCCCTCTTCTTTGTAGCAGCCTCTTAGATATTGGCACACTGCTATCATGTCACCCCTAGTCCTTTTTTTTCCCTTAAACTAGATATGCCCAATTCCTGCAATGATTCTTCATATGTTTTCTGAAGCAATGTAATATATTTGTAAGAATCAAAATAGGTGGCAGTACCCAGACAGCCTGATTGACCTGATAAACTAGGCAGTATGGATAGGAGTTGGCTAGGTAAGATAAGAGCTACAGACTAGACTGGGGAAAATATTTTGGAAGAAGTCAGACAATCACCTCCATTTGATTTCTAAAAAAAACCCCAACATAAGCATGCCTGTTTGATTAATAGCTTCCTTATATATTTTTATATTTCTAGGACTTGATAAACTGGACCAGCTCATTTTCTTTAGCATGGGATAACTGTGTGTTCTTTGTTCCTCAACTAGTCTCATTCTACTAGCAGGTCAAGTCTACATCTAGAATGAAGTCACCTATTGATTACATAGCAAAGTACTTGACTCAGTATGGATTCCAATTTCAGTCAATGCACTGCCAACTCTAATACCCTCAGGTCTTCTCACATATTCATTGATATGTAAAATTATTTAGGTAACAAATGTAGATAAGTAGTAGAATTTTTTGGTTAACTGATTTAACACTGTAATAGTGGAACAGAATGCTTTCTTAGCGGCTTTCCATTTCTCATTCTGAAAGTGAATAGGAAGCCCATTAATTCATGCTTAAAGTCAGACCTATATTTCTTATTAAAGGCTGCTACTATATGACTTAATATCTGTGAAATGCTTCATACCTGTGAATATCCGTGTAGAATAGTTACCACAATACTGATACTCTGGTTCCACTGTATACCTCTGACCTCCACAACAAGCACTTGATACATTCAGAAGAAATGAAAGATACTTGTCCTCACAGCATTGGAAACTTGAAATATTGTACTGATTCCCATTGCAACATATCTAAATTTGAAAAATAAAACAGATATAGGTTAAAGCATAAAGTGTTTCCTGATAGAACAATATCAACAGCACATATATAAATCCACAAATCCATTACAACTGAATTCTTATTCAGCATTGATGATGTTACAAACTTTGGATAATGAAACATCTGCAAGAAAACAGCCAAGTTCAGAGAGCACCAAGCATCCCTGAATTCTTATTGTTTAGCAGAAGTCTAACAAAGGAAACTGATCAAATCATCAATAAAATGTATAGATAATTTACCTAGCTATAAAATCACATTGAATTTATCAACATTTACAATAAATCTTGGGTAGAGCACAATGAATAAACGTATGGCTAAGAAGCATAATCTCACAAATACATCAATGATAAATTTAAATCTATGGGCTTGCTAGCTATTTCAGGCAGATTGTTTTCCAAAATTCAGCAGAGAATGTGAATTTTCTTATAGTCACAAACAACAGCCCCCATACAAGCCCAAGTTGTATAGAATAGGAAAAAGAAAGAAAGAAAGAAAGAAAGAAAATGGAAGGAAGGAAGGAAGGAAGGAAGGAAGGAAGGAAGGAAGGAAGGATTGGAATGCCAAGAAGGATCTCCGTGCATTCTTGTAATTCCTGAATGTGACTGCCAGGTGCATCATGTGGCGGTAGAGACATGCAAGACTATTTGGAAGATGTTATAATCTGAAGGACAGTTTGATCAGATATATGTCTACCCCACATGAACATTCAATTTTGGACCACTTGAGATTGCTCTGCCATTTCACTAGGAAATATATGATAATCTATTTAATGCATTGATAAAAGAATTGGCTCTTGATCAGATTTTTATAAATATGAAACTTCTCTCAGCAGAGTTTAAGCTTTTGGTGCAATGGCGAAATCATTACACTATTCTTTCCCACTCTGTACAACAAAAAAGAGACATCTGAACAATCTATACCTCAAAAAAGTAAGCAAAATTATTTTAATTCTATAGTGTAAAATAAAGTACTTTTAAAAGAAAATATAACAATGACAAGAAAATGATTGTCATGAAGACTGGGAAGGTATTTATAAAAGATTGCAGTAATAAGAGGACTTCTCTAAAGAGAACACTTTCCACAAATGCAAAACCATATTTGTAAGCTGCTAGTTAGTTATCTAGTAGTTGTCTAATCCACAGTATTAGACAATAGTATTAGTACTTATTAATGAATTTTGATTAATTTTCTTCATCTTCTATATTTCTAAATGTTCTTAATTTTGTTAATTTCATAAAAATATTATCACTAAGGTAGTTTTAGTCCTCATTTAGGAACTGCATTGTTTAGTGATCGTTTGCAGTTATGACGGTAATATAAAGGAGCTTTATGACAAATCCTTGCATTTACAACCTTCACAGACCTGTAAAACAAAGTAAAATCCTAAATTTAGATATATATATTTTAAAGCTAGTATTCTATGGAACCAATTTTCCTAACTTGGTCAAAAAATTGGCAAGCTGCTAAAAACACCATGGCCATTGACATTTTGCTTTTGATTAGACTACTGGGTATCTTTAAACCAAATTGTGGTCTATAAATGGGAGAAAAGGCTACATCTCCAGATCCCTCTTCAGATGCAACTGTCAACTGGCTTTACTGAGATATATTTCTTCCTCACCTTTGGAGGACCTCATTGGTCACTATATACCAGATATAGCTTAGAATGGTGCAGCAGGTTGAGATACTCTAAATCATCAGAGTTCATTAAGATTTAGATAATGTGGCAAAAAGGGGAAGTACCTATGTTGCACTCCCAGTATGACTTCTGAATAGTTCTCTGATGTATTACAGAAGGAAGATCAAGAACTAGTTTTGTAACAGAAAAGAGAAATATAGTGTGATTCTCTCTTCAGTTTTATTACGTTTCCTCCCACCATCCCATGTATTTCTATTTTGATATCCACTTGATTATTTATTTAAGTCCTGTTCCAGAAGAGTCCAGAGAACAAATTCTTAAGTACAGTCTTCTGTATCTCTACCTCACATAACAGGCATCAGCTCATAAGTTTAATGAAAGTCTACGGTAGAATAAAATATTTATCTAAACACTGACAGATGAGAGTGCAACATTATTAGTGGAAAGCTACTACCCAGTTCATAGACAAGCTTGTTAGGGTACTGTTATTCCTTTAGGCACTAATGCTATTCATGTGATTAGTCCCACTGAGTTCTTCTGAGCATATCAGTAATACTGTGACATTCATTTTTCTTGCTGCAATTACTTTTAAACAAGTGAGAAGCTAAAAATCGGAGTGAACAGAAGATAAAGAAAATTACAGAAATTCACACTGGTTATGAAGCCAACCTTTTAAAGTAGTTAATCATTAAATGAAAACAATCCATATATTTTATTGCTTCCTCTATACATGGGGAAGTGCTGCGTAATGGGGTGAGCTCCTGTTATTTGTCCCAGCTTCTGCCAACCTAGCAGTTTGAAAGCACATAAAAAATGCAAGTAGAAAAATAGGGACCACCTTTTGTGGGAAGGTAACAGTGTTCCATGCGCCTTTGGCGTTTAGTCATGCCGGCCACATGACCATGGAAGACGGAGATGTCTTCGGACAGCGCAGCTCTTCAGCTTTGAAATGGAAATGAGCACCGCCCCCTAGAATTGGGAATGACTACCATGTTTCCCCGAAAATAACCTTGTCTTATATTTTTTTGAACCCTGAAGTAAGCGCTTGGCCTTATTGCCATGCACTCAAAAGCCTGATTGGGCTTATTATCAGGGGATGTGTTATTTTGGGGAAAACAGGTAGCACATAGGTGTGAGGGGAACCTTTACCTTTACCTTTATACATGGGTATCAAAATAATGTTTAGTAAATAAATAAATAAATTAAAAGGCAAAAGTATTGCTTAAAAATAAGAGATGGACCTAAAATATATCAGCTTTGCTAATTTTGATAAATTATAATTCAGAGCCATGCCTTAACATTTGGAAAATTCTCTACTCGGTGCAAAGGCAATAATTTCCCACATTCTTTCTAACATGAAGGTGTCTTCCAGGGGGAGTTGGTGCAAGAGGGAAAATGATGAAAGCAGCATTGCATTGCCACAGTGCAAGCTTTGTCCTTTTGTATGTATATGTCATCCATAGAGGTGGGTGGTTTTAGGAAATTATTTCACCAGGTTGTGAAAATCACTCATTCCTTGGCAGAAACGATCCAGTGTATTTCCCGTTTTCTGCATACAGACACATTTCCATGCTCAGAAAACATAACCTGGATCCAAACCGCAGTTTTTGAGTACTTTTGAATGCAGACTGCATTTGCAGCTTTTCAATTAGCCTAAATCTGTTTTACAATTTGAATGGGTTAGTTAGACACGAAACATACTTCTCCAATGTAATTTGGGAATAGTTTTGCCAGACCTCCTTTGACACAGATAAATTGCAGAGGAGCAAAGAAGCCTTTCAAACTGCAGAACTGATTTTTGTCTTAGCCACTGTTAGTAACAAAAAAACAGCGGGAAAACATGAGTTTGCAGTATAAAGGGCTTCAGAACCCCTGGCAGTAGGGTTATTGCCATAACAAGCATATCGGCTGCAAAATTCAGATGACCACTAGATGGCAGCAAAGAGATACAGAAAACATTTTATTATCATTTAGTGGTCACCTGGACTTTTTATAGCCCAGTTATGCCTATTGCCATCCTATATCATGTATATTTGTATGCTATGACTGCAGATGCTTTCTGACTATAAACAATGAAATGCACACAGTCAACTATTTTTCTATTGGCCAACTGATCAGCTGGCCAGTGTCAAATGCTTGGCTGGTTTCTTGCTGTTTTCCTATTTTCTGCCAACCCTCCTACTTATAATCACTGGTTTCTCATTTAGCATTAAAAGGAAGGGAAATTAAAACAGTTCTTTAATCAGTATTACTTTTAGATTTATGCATGTATTTTAACAATTTTTATTTGTTTGAATAGTTTGCATTTTTGTATTGAAGGGTGCTTTATGATCTTCTGGATAGAAATATGGGATTATTATTTCTATTATGAGGAACAAGAGAAATAGCAGCAGCAGCAGCAGCAGCAGTAATAGTATTGCTATTCAGTGATGAGAAATTAGTGTTCAGGAAAGGACCAAGGCTTCAATTTATACTGCTCTTTGAACAATTATCTTAAATGTCAAAAGTGCTTTAAATTTTCAAATCCTTCTGAGCTATCTCTTCCCCAGTAAAACTTCTTGTCATCAACTCAATGATTTTTCTGAGGCAAGATCCCATTGATATTATTTGCCCATTATGTACCTCTTAAACAGCTTACAATTTACTTACACTCAGCATACCCTTGAAACTACGTGATTCAGCCAGCCTCCCATTTGTATCTTTGAACTGTTATGTAGCTCCCCAACATCCTTTGCAACAGGCTGTAAATTACAAAATCGCATTTTTGGCAGCATTTTAGGACAGATCCTATTTGTATTGGTCTGAAGCCCAGAGGATATGCATTATCAGCCCATAAAACAAAATGTATTTAAGAACTATCAGGATTATGTCATATTCCCCCCCAAAAGCCAACTACTGAAATTGGTAATGATCATCATTATCTCATCCTCTTATATTTAAGTGTATACCAGCCAGCCAGGGTTCTTATTAGGCCTGTATTATCTCATCATCTTTTATTTAGGGATGGCAATTTAGGATGGTGTAATCAGACATATATATCTGCTTTCCTAAGCCATTCAATTAAAAATACTGCTTTTTCCTAATTATTTTCTATGTTCTCATCAGCATCAGTATAGTTTGTATAATTTGATTTCAAAATAAGATGGAATAAGAGAAAAAAAGGTCTCCCTTAGATGAGTCTGCAAATGAAAAAGTTTGCCATGATTCTGCAAAACATTTTGTAGCATCTGATCCCAATCAGACCAAGTTGCCTATTAGTTAAAATAGTTGATAGTAATTTGTACGTAAGAGAATTAGAATAAAATTAATTTTGTCCTACAATCTGCCTTTCAGATCCTCTAAAGGTTTTTTTTATATATATTATGCCTTATTCTTAGGATACAGTCCTCCATGGGCTGGTCCAACCAGGAGAATGGGATTTATAAAAGTGATATTGGCCATCTATTGTGCTGTTTTTGAACTTCATTTTAATATGAGAGGTATATATTCTACTAGGCAGAAGAGTTGAATACAAATCATTGTATTATCATTTCTCTAAATTTGAAGCTTCCTAAGCTGCTTAAAGATTATTAATGTGGAAAAATAAAATAAAATAGAAGTTCCATTCTGATAGCTTCCTTTGAAATGTATAGCTTGGTCACTCCATAATTAAATTATCACAAAGAATTTCAGCATTCTTTGCTGAATTTCAGCATTCCTTGCATTCAGACATTCTCTTCATTTTGGGAAAACATCTTCTAGGAAAACCCTCTTTCATCAAACTGAATGAGAAACAGTAGGAAAAATATGGAGAAATGATATTTATTTATTTAAGAAAATTTATATGGCCACCCAACTCACTCTCAGTGACTCTGGGCGGCTTACAAATATAAAAAGCCAATAAAATAAATAATAGGTTGTAAATTAAAATAATAGGAGTCAATAGAAACAACAGATGCTTTGTGCAAGTTCAATGGCACAATGGAAGACAAAGTTTCTGGTTCATGGTGATACACTGAGAGGAGTTAATATCAAGAGAGAAGTTTTCAAGGTGACTTACTGTCACCACTACTGTTTGTCATTGTATTGATTCTTATGTTAACAATACTGAACTAGTTGGACCACAGATAGCAAACATCAAAAACAAAGAACAAAGGCATACAAAGCTAGAATTGAGAAGATAGCTACGGACAGCAAATGCCACTTCTGCAAAGAAAGTGTGGACCACCTAGTTAGCTGCTGCAAGAAGATCGCATAAGACTGATTAGGAACAATGGCATGACAAAGTAGCAACAATGATGCATTGGAATATCTGCAAGAAACACTATTTGCAAGTTAAAACTGCTGGGACTACAAAATAGAAAAAGTAATAAAAAATGAAGAAATGAAATGAAATTGCTCTGGAACTTTAGAATTCAAACAGATAAACATGTGACACATAACACCCCAGACTTAATAATCGTTGATAACAAAGACAAAAAAAACCCCAAACCCAAATCCAGCTGATGTCTTTGGCTTTTTGTTATCTTGTTTTTTTGTTTTTTTGTTATGTTTTTTGTTATTTTGTTATGTTATGCACATATGAGTATGTGCAGGGAGCCATTCCTTGGTTGTTTTAGCAATTATGATGCATGATTTATTCTCTGGTAGTAATATTTAATTTTTATGTTATTTTAATTGTTTTATTTTTTAAAAAATTGTTCATGACCCAGGGTCATTGGTTAAAATATAAATTGAATACATAAAATTCAGCTTTTTAAAATTTACTGTTATGTTTCATTTGCAAAGGAAAATAATGAACAATCTAAGGATCAATGAATATGATTTATTCTTGAAATCATCATCATCATCATCATCATCATCATCATCATCACAACAACAACAACAACAACAACAACACTAATACTAATACTAATACTAATACTAATACTAATACTAATACTAATACTAATACTAATACTAATACTAATACTAATACTAATACTAATACTAATAATAACCCCAATATGGAGGCCTTTGGCCCAAAACAGGATATCCACGGCTATAGTAACCCTGATTAACATCCCGGTTCTGCTAAAATAAAATCCAGTGAAAAATAGTGTATACAAAAGAATCCTTTTGCAGAAATCCTTTCACTGAAAAGTACTTGTGAACCAGTCTACAGATTCTTACCATAAGTATGTGAAGACAATATAGAGTATATAGTCAGCATAGTGTTATTATAATACTAAAGTCAAGAAAATAAGCAGAAACTTGTCTTATTTCAAGTTGATTAACTTGTCCATCATGGCCACTGAGTCTGGAAACCTCCTTCTTCCAGGTAATTGACTTTGGGGATCATATTTCCCTCAGTGCACGGTTGGCTGGGTGGCTTATGAAAAGCAGGATGGTAGAATAAGGCCTTGATTTATTGGACTAATAGAGAGGAAGGGATATATATTAAAACTCAATTATCATTAAATGACAAACAGGATTTTCAAGCCTCAAAACATACTTGTATATGAGAAAATCTACCTTAGTGACTGCTTAAGATAGTTTTAGAGATTATAGAACAAAGTAAATATATTGTACAACTTATTTGGTACCTAAGTTGTACAATATATTTTACTTTGTTCTGTAATCTTAAAAGAGAAAAAAAATATACCATAAGCAAATATTCATTTTAAGGGGATGTGGTAAACACTGCCTGGACTGATCCATCATCCCACAGACTTTGTGGTTAAGGTTATGTCAGCCAGCATAATTTATATTTTTGTTTGAATCACTGAGATAATTCACTTTCCTAATTGATGCTTTGTCTGACAACAAATCTTATGAATACACACTGTCACTACATGTGTGATGCTGCTGCTAACAAATAGGGACATTATTTTATTATATTAAATCTTACCTTCAGACTAAGAGTTTTCTACCTCATTTGTCAATAAAAAATGTATAGGCTTCTACTGTTCTGACTGCAGTATTGATCCAACTCTTAACTTGCAACTAACATAAACATTAATCTGCAAATGACCGTAAATTTAAAATATTTCTGACAAATCATGATAGGCCTCATTCAGAGATGCTCATCATTAGCACATAAACAACCACCCACTTATAGATAAAACTAAATGGATTTGCTGTAAAGTAGCATCAAATCAGTCAATCAACCAAGTACCCCAAAAAGAATTTAACCGTCCCAATAAGTTAATATTTTCTATCTAGATTGTGATAAATGATAAAAAAAAAGACAAAAATGCACTAGAGAATATACTCCCTAGTTATCTCTTTTCATTTTTACAGCAGCACAATAAAGGAAGCATAATATTTTTGGAAATGGATCTGCATAATGCGGTCAGGTACCATTTATAGCATTGCTATGCTATAAATAAAAATCAATAGTGGGCTTGTTCCCATTCAGCAGTGCAGATGTGTAAGATAAACCAGAAAGATAAACCAGACATGGAAAGATCAGGGGAAGCAACAGGTAAAGTATAGATTCTTCAGTTTCTTCAACAATTCCATCACAAGCCCTAGTCAGACTAGTCACACAGTCTGAATTCAGTTTTTGCCAGGAATTCTGTCTCTGGGGGAGAGAGGGACTAGCTGGTGAAGAGGAAAGAGATATTGATATATAAATGAGAAAGTCACAGAGACTACCCTGGCTGAATTTGAGAGGGAGGATTTTTGAATGGGTGAACTCCAGAGGTGGGTTTCAGCAGGTTCTGACCAGTTCTGGAGAACCGGTAGCGGAAATTTTGAGTAGTTCAGAGAACTGGTAGTAAAAATCCTTACTGGCCCCACCCCCATCTATTCTCTGCCTCCCAATTCCCAGCTGATCAGGAGGAAATGGGGATATTGCAGTAACCTTCCCCTGGAGTGGGGTGGGAATAAAGATTTTACAGTATCCTTTCCCTGCCACGCCCACCAAGCCATGCCACACCCACCAAGACACACTCACAGGACCGGTAGTAAAAAATTTTGAAACCCACCACTGGTGAACCCCTGATGAAGATGTAGAAGAGATACAAACTGCCTCATTTTCCTGTCTAGTGCCATGAGGAGGAGGCAGAATACCTAAAAGAGGGGAAACCCTTATGATTTCAGCCAAAGAAATGAACTGAAAATTCACTCCCTGTCCTGAGATTTCCAGATACAAGGAGGAGATAATAATAAAAAAAAAGTTTGAAGAGAGGGAAATCTCCCTTCAAGCTCCAGCCAATGTAGAAGTAGAAACTGAAAGAATTGTACAATGCTCTCCACTGTAACACAACAGGAGGAAGCAGGTAGCAGGTAGCTGCAATGAAGCTAGAAATGGATAAACTGGAGAGGGATAAAGTTTGAAGCTGGGCAGATGGAAACTAGCACTCCACAAGTCAGATAGAAGTATTGTAAGCAAAAGCTGGAGGAAAAACCCAGCTAAAATCTTGTTGATGTGAAAGGGAGGGAGGAAAAAAGCTTACAATTTAAATCCCAGAACTGACATATATGTAGTGCTTAACTTGTGTGTTCTGTAATGGGCAGATCATCCATATTATATGATACTTTTCTTGTCTCCAATAAAGCAACTCACCTCGTAGTGCTAAGACTGTTATTCACCTCCTGAGCATGGGATTGGGTTTCTGGAAAATAGAAATTTATAGCTATCCCTGGCTTATAACCTGAGTGAGTTGAGTATCATAGTGGAGGAGGAAGAGGAGGAGGAGATGGTTAAAGCCAGCATATTACATGGTGTTACCTTAAACTGGAGATTACAGCATCGTCTTCCACATATGTTTTCATGAATGTTGCATTCCAAGAGCAGGCAAATTCCTTCACTTTGATGTTTTGACAGTTGCTTTGCATCAGGGCAGGGATGCTGAGCTTTACGCAATAGTTCATATCCTAAAACAATGCCATTTGGTTGTCCTGGTGATGTCCAGTTAATCTGAAGTGATCTGAAGCAGCAAAACAATTAACACATAATTCAATTAATACCAACTGTAATTTACTTCAGCTCCTGCTAAGACTCAAATCCTTACAGGTGTCCTTTTTAACTTTGCTGCAATGTGAGGGAGCTTTACATGGGTCTGAATTTTTTAAAGGGGCTCTTTTGCTGAAGGATCATTATAGAACACTTAAATTATGATTCATTCTTTGGCAGAAAGGTAGAGTTGAAGATTCTGATATATAATTGACCCTGACATTTAATAGAAATCAAGTGCTAAATTTTAGTTTAAAATAGAATCACAGCCTCACTTTAATACCTCTCCTCAGTTGCTTTCAGATTCTACAAACAAGTATTTTTACATTAATAAATTCAGCATAACGTTAACACATTATAGATATACTTGACAGAAACAAAACACTGCACTAAAAAAATCTTGTTGGCCATGCAAGACATAGCTGCACTGGTAGACATTCTGTTGACTCTCATAAAAAAAACACGACTTGTAGCAATCTTGTCCTTTCATGTCTTTTTCCTTCAGTGAAGACACTGATGACTTAAGACCATACTTGCATGAACTATAGCACTTGTGATTTCAGCTTCTTTAGAGAAAGTATTGGAAAAACTTTCAACTGCACAAGCTGATCATCTGCAGGTAAGATCATCTCAATGGTTTCAGCCATCTCACATTTTCCCATTACAGGAAAGGCACTAAACACTAGACATAGTGCTGGCATTTGGAGTACATACAAAATACATTCTTGATGAACCTGGCCATCCTACATAGTCCATTTGCTGGGCAACCATCAGAACTATAGTAGCAGGAAGGACTCTAAATCTAGACCAGGGAAAAATCATGAGAAGTAGTGGGTGATGAATAGGCTTGTAGCCACATTCAAATTAAATTTAGGTGTATTTAAGAATTAATAGATAATAGCCAAAATCTTTCCAAAGATGCAAAATGGCTCTAGGCTACCTTGCCTTGAGGTTTAGCAACAATTTAAATATTTAGCACAGTCTGTTTATCTTGGCGATACCTTTTTTTTTATTGTCAAAGAAATTTATCATGGAATTTAAAAAGTGAAAGTTGGATCAAAATTCTAGGACTTGGAATTAGATTTGGAAAGGCAAAGGAATTTAAAATAAGTAGCACAAAGTACAGCAGATTGGAAATTATTTTATATATTGTCATTGATATACTTATGTATTCTTTTTCTTTAAAAAAATCAACACTTTCTTCTACCTATTTGCAATTCCTCAACCAATACTTTCTTCCTCCTGTTTGTATTTCCTCCCTTTTCTTTATCAAATTTCTCTCAGCTTGGGAGAGAATAACTCAGTCAGGGAAGGGTCACAAAAGGAGCTGTTCACAACACAAATTTATGGGAGACATCGACTCTGATTGGTTATCAGTGTAATTTAAATGTTCTGAAATATAAGTGCTGGATTTCAAGATTCATTGTAAAGATCTGAATATTCATCCAGTTCTGTGTCTTCAAAACATGCATTAAATATATTCCTCAAAAGATGCCTGAGTAGAAATGTAAATAATTAAATAGTTCCTTCCTTATAATATCATACTGCAGATATTTCATGGGAGAACTGCATATAATGTTAATGATACAGAATGCAGTTAACCTCTGAATTTACTCTAAGCACAAGTAAAGCCATGAATTGAACTGAACCACCACACAAGGGAGAGGAGGTTTAAATCTTTTTATCTGCAGATGCTTTGTTCAAGAAAACTCTTCCTCACTCTTCTTCATTTTCTTAAATCCTTTTTGTTTCCAGTAACAGAAAAAAAGATTTTAGAAGTGAAGAAGCTGAAGTAAAAAGGTTAAAATTCCCTCCCCTTGTACATACCTTGAATGCCCTCTGGATAAAAATACTGAATGGAAATGGAAACAAGAACAACAATAATAGGATCTCATGCAATTACTCAAGGTCAGACTTCTACCTAATTTGCTTCAGATGCTTGGCACTACAACTGGCAGAATTCCCATCCAGAATAGGAATGGAGCTTTGGGATAAATATTAAAAACAAGAGAATCCTACAACCTTGTGGCTAGAAGATTAATAAGTAGAGCTACAATCTGTCCACAATAAATTTATTAAAGGCAGCCTTCAACATTATAATGTGACCATTGATGAGCTAAAGATGACTTTCTTTAAGTTCCATTTGCTTGTTTAAGATTTAAGTAAATCCTTATATCTCTTCTGCTGTGAGGGAAACTTAACATCCCCTAACTTTGGATGGATCATTTTAGAAAGCAATATAATCCAAATACATAGTACCTGTCAGAATTCTTTGTGACACTGTAAATTAGCATTCATTTAAAGTTAGAGACTTATGTTCAGAAACAGCAGCTGAGATAATAAAAATGGCATCTTATAGAATAAAAATAACACAGTGAACTATTTCACTACCTTGAGGTATAAACAGAGGAACACCTAGCAATAACAATCTGTAGTAGAAGAATTGATGTCAACTGTGAAGGGATAACTTCACAGGTTACTTGTAGAGTCACTATTATTATTCTGAAGTCTTCATCTGACTTACTGAATTAATGCCACAGTCTGTAGAAATCTATTTTATATTCACTGCATATTCAACTCAAAGGAAAAAATACCCCTTACATATCAATGATTTACTGACAAACATATAAAAAGAAAGAACAAAAGAGTGAAAGAGAAGAAACAAAGGAACAAAGAAAGGGATAGTAAACGTTAAAAATGAATCTACAATTTGAAATACCATCTCAATGTGTATTATTTTGCAACTAAATAAGCCAGTGGTAAATGACAAGTATTTTGTATCACGGTCTTTGACCGATTTTGTTAAAATGTTTTTGCACAAGACGGAATTAAAATGAAATCATACTCTCCTCAAAAGCAGTCATATTTGAATTTAGTCATGCTGTTCAGCAATAGTATGTGACTGTACATCTCTAAACTAATGTTTATGTTCACATCTCACTCTAATTTATGGTTTGACTAACCATAATTAACTATGATTTTCTCTCTCTCTCTCTCCCTCCCCCCTCCCCCACTTTGGAATCAGTCTTGATTCCTAGTGATTGCCTGGAGATGTCTATGCTGTTTTCTTGGCAATGTTTGTGAAGTAAATTAATCACTGTTTCTTTCTATAGTTGAAATAAAGAAACTAACTCAGAGTTACCCAGTTGGTTTCATGCTTAAAACTGGATTAGAATTTATGGTCTCCCATAAATGAATTTCAACACATTTGAATGGAAATATAGTATATAAAGTTTGTGATAAACGAATAGGATTGCAACTATTGAGCTAATCATGGTAATTCTCTATCCCATTTCTGGTATTCAGTGTTTGAGAAACATCTAATTGAAACCAAAATCCAGAATATTTAATCCATGAAATTAGAGGAGGAAAATTTCCCAGTGTTACAGTATCATTTAGGCAATAGATTAAATGAGCACAAATATATATTTGATAAGGTTTAATAAATCAGAACAGAATGTGTTATAGGTCCTATCAATTTCTTTGATCTGAAGAAATAACAATCTTAACCAGGGATGTCAAACTTGCGATGTCACGTTGCCATCACGTGATGTATTGTGACTTTTTCCCCCTTCTCTAAACTGGGGGGGGGGGACATGGCCAGCACGCGATGCAGCTGGCCCATGGGCCGTGAGTTTGACATCCCTGATCTTAACCCTCAGTATGCTGCCATGAAATGTATGATCTTTTGAAGATTCACCAGAAGAATGGAGAAGATGGGGAACAGATCAGAACTTTGTATGCTTATTTTAAATGAAAATAGTTTGAGCAAATAGTTTCAATGTATATGTACATGTCAGTTGCATGTTATACACCTAACACAGATGTGTTTTGACACCTGGGTTTACAAATAAATCTACTTTCCTCTACTTCTTGATTCACTTAAGAAAACAATAAATCGTTTAATAGCAGATGAATGTTGAAAGTATTTATGTGATTTTCTGAATGATACATTTCCCAGAAGGAAAACAATCCTGTATTTAAGATGATCTACCCAAAGAAAGATTAAATTGAATTATAATAAACTGAAACAAAATAATCAGTGTATTGCCCAGCTTCCTTACCTTGACAATGGGACATTCAGAGTCCCGCTAAACTCAATCCTAGAAACCTTTTCTCTTCCCTGCTCCTCTCCATGCATGTGACATATCAGCATATTCATTTGTGTCCATAAACACATATATAAATATATATTTTTACTTGCAGAGGCCAAACTCAAAAAAAAAAAAGGGCAGGGTCAGGAAAAAGCATGCCATTAATTGAATTAATACTTTTACAAGTGAGTACTTGTAAAATATGGTACCCATTATAAAATGAATTATTTTCACTTTTGCATATAAACCCACAGACTACTCTCTCTTTCCCACTCAGAATGACATGATGGAAATCTGACCTCAACAAGCATAAATCTATAAATGTGTGGTCTGCAGGAAGTCACACTGAATTGACTTTCTATGGAGGGAGGTATGAGGAATCTTCTGTTATGCTGGTAAAGGATCTGTTGTGCTCAGATTACTATGCAAGTGTGCATAAATCAGGTTGAAAATAGGAAGGCAATTTTGAGGCCCTGCTTTTTTGTTTCTCTGAAACAAGGAAAGTAATTAATAGATGATCTGTGCTGGATTGCGGTCAAAGGAAACATATGCATATGGTTCCTGTGTCATATGGTTAAATCTTGTTGAATTCACTCTTAGATTCCCAAATAAATGGGAGGAAGGGAGGAATTCATTTTGTTCTTCCTTCTAGATAATTATGCTTAGGACTTGTAGTTTTCTTAAGTCAGCTTCTAAGTCCTATAAATTCTCTGAATGAGGAAGATGACAAGTGGGCAGGACTGCCTGCCTCCCTTCTCTTCCTCCTCAATATAATGTCTTTATGTAGGCAATCAAAGGGTGTTACAAGACATTTTATGCCTTTGTGAACCCACTTTGCTTGTCTCACCTTGTTTTCAAGGTCTTCTACTGTTGTTTTCTTAGCAAACGTAAAAGGACCTCTTCGATTCCCAGATAAATGGGAGTAAAAGAGGAATTCATTTTCATTCCTTTAGATACTATAACACCAAAATCAGCCTAATTTCAAGATTGGGTTGTTTTTTCTTTTTCTTTCTTTCTTTCTTTCTTTTTTTTGGAGCCTTCAAGTCAGTGTTGACTCCTGGAGTTTGCCTCAAAAAAAGCTGCAAAAACAGAGGGGGGAGGGGAGGAGAGAGAGGGACGGAGAGGACAAGGGAGAGAATGTGTTTCTGACCATGGGACTAGCCTCCTGTTTCTAGACTAATGCCTTAACCACCACACCAAATTGGATCTTAGGGTTAGGCACCCATATTGGTCTAAAAAAAATACAAGTAACATCTTCCACTTTTTGCAAATTGACATTTTATTTACCATTTGCCATTTCCTTTTATTTCACATAAAGAGGTGTGAAGAAGCTCCAGATATAACTGAGTGTCCTAATTGGATGCCTATCTCTCAGCCAGTGAATGCATTTTAATAAACACCAACTGATAATAGCTGTGCCCACAAGAACATTTTGACACCAGATAATTGCTAGCCTAATAGGGGAAACTAAACATTTCTGTTGTAACAGATCTGATATGCAATCTGTGAGGCCTACATAAAATTTAGTGAGTGCAATTATTTTTGTATGGTTCTATAGTATTCCCCTAAAGTGGCAACCCTTTTTCTGATCCCAAATAAAGGTTTGATCTGTTAAGGAATTTCTAAAAAGCAAGGTCAATTTGTTGAAGAACTGTTACAAAAATTTGTGGAATATGCATTGCGCTGCTTATAGCAGTCTGCTAGAAACCAAATAATCTCTTCATTGGCAGATACTGATTACAGTATCTTCCTATTTATTCAATCTGCTATTTTCTTCTTGAATTTGTTTCCTTAACAGAGGACGAAGTGGAAAATTCATATGCATGCCAGTACTTGCTGAAGCTGTCAACTGCAGTGATTGTCACATTTCAATCACAGTTAAAACTAGCCAGCCAGCCAGATAGCTACTTTTTTTTTTACAGCACAAGGCCTTACATTCTTGAGGACCAGAATTAATGAATTAACTATTGATTAAATTCTACTCTAGCAAATCCACCGTGGCAAATAAATGAACTACCTGGGGCATATGTAGGCCACAGTCAGACATGTCCAGGCAATCGATCAGTAGTTAGTATTCTCTTAGGACATGAGAACAGATGATGATAATATAACATGTAAGGGGAGGCAATGAAAAAAGACCCATTATACTGAACAGATGATCAAACAGGAAGGGATTTCTGACTATTTCATATTTGCGTGTTTTGATATCTTAGCAAGTACCATCTCAAAGACATGCATAACTACATGTGTATGTCTGTGTGTCTGTGTATGTTTATTGTAATTGCAATCTTTGCAATTATAATTTTTAAGAGCAAATGCAGAAACTGAAATAAAACAAAGACCAACAGAAGCTTCCTTAGAAGATTTTTGGAGTAAATATATCCTATAGGCATATTTTCAAAGATTTAGATGTTAAAATGTTGTTATTTTAAAAAATACATTTTTCTTTCTTGAAGAAGTAGACCAAGTGTCAGGTTCTGCCAGTAGTATAATAAAATCTTATTAACAATAATATACATGCACTAATATAATATATTAGTGTTATATATTATATAACACTAATATACATGCATAATATACAGCAATATTATTGTTGTCATAATTTTGATACATCTTTGGCAATGGTTGTATAATCTCTATTGCAAATGTTGGCACTCATGGATCCTTTTAGGAAAAGAATGATTTTTCACTATGAAAAAGAAATTCCCATAATAATAGAAGAAAAATATAGAACCATATCTTCTATGGTATGTGCATATAGATAAACAACTTAATTTCTTTTACGCTTATTGCCTTTTTAATATTATGAATTATTATTCTAATCAGGCTAATATAGTGGGAGTAACCACAAAATTCCAGTCTAAGCCAAAGTCAAGAGCAGAGCAAAGCAGGGAGAAAAAGGAATCGAGGACCCTTCCTTGTCATACTGATTCAATAAGAGGAGTGGAATGTAATAGAGAGGAGAAAGACATACGAAAGGTTGACATGACTTCCTTTAATGTCTAAGTCTGATCAGTTTCCCATTTGAAAAAGAAAATAATGGAGAGTTGGATACATAAACTGATGAGTCCTCTTACTCAATATTTGCAACAAAGTCAGAGAAGCTGCTTCATGATAGAATTAAATCAATAAGAATGTGACATAGGACTGATTCACATGTTTCTCAGTCCTTCACTATAAATATGGCTTTGGGAATCCTTCCTATATTCACCAGTAATGCCTGTATGACTTCTCCTTTTCTTCCAGTATCTCCAGGCTGATGAAATCATGGCCTTCTTGCCAAGCTAAACACTATGTGAGATTGAGATTGTTTCTGTATAAAGTAGAGACACAGAAGAATGGCAATGCATACATGTAACATACAGGCAGCTTCAGGATGAGTTTCCTGAATGAAGTACCAAAAAATAACTGCCACATATTGGATTAAAATGAAATCTAATGTGAAAGACAAGATGTAAAATAGGCAGACAGACAGACAAACATACACATTGTAACCTTCCTTCTTAGATTCATATGGAAATAAGCATTTATCTTATAGCCCAAATTATGCCAGTATAATTACTTTTAGCAGCACTGATTCTTATGATTTAAGGTAGAAAACAAGGCAAGTACATTTTAATACCTTGAACCAAGGACATAGATCCATGGTGGCAATAAGTCTTTAGGCACATCTTCTGCAGTTCTAATTTGGGTTCCATTACTTCTCACACAAACATTCCTTCTGCAGGATTCAACCTAGAATAGCAAGTATCAAAATGGGTATTTTTCCACATTCAAAATTTGAAATCAAAGTTGTAGCAAAGCTAAATTTAATATAATGGTAAGAAGGGAAATCATTTTGAATGGGGAGCACAAAAGGAAAACAATGCATTTTTATTTTTATAACATCACAGCATTTTTATAATATCGTTTCATGTAATAGCATTAATAAATATATTAAATTCAACAGTATTGACCAAAACCAATAAAATCAGGATAATGGACAAAAGCAAAGCGTGCATGCGCTCCCATTGCGAACCGGTAGTAAAGGTAAGTGGAACCCACCCCTGTTACAGACCTCTTAGAAATGGGGTGAGGTCAACAGTAGACAGTCTAAGGTTAAAGTTATGGGGGTTAGGGGATGAAACCACAGGGTTAGGTAGTGCATTCCAGGCCTTGACCACTCTGTTGCTGAAGTCATATTTTCTGCAATCGAGTTTGGAGAGGTTTACCTTAAGTTTGTTATTACTGTATATTAGGGAAACAATTTTAGTGCAACACAGTATCTAAGCAAAGTAATGCATGCCATTTCAATTTATTTGTATTTAAACTTCAATGAAAAAGTATAGGATTTCTTTAGCTAAGTTATCCCATGATTAAGCTAGTATTCATTACAGAACGATAGGCCGAGCTACAGGACTGGCTAGAAACCCTTTAAATTGTTATAATCTAACTGTATTGAGAATGATCCAAGTGTTCCTCATCTTTTCACATACATGGAGGATTTCCATTCTTTCCAACAAGGGAATTAAACCTCCACTCAGAGTTGTCTTTTGCAAACATGATGCATTATCAATCCACTCAAGAGGAAGATACGGTATGTTTTTCAATGTGAGTTACAAAAATAGTAATAATAGACATAAATTAATAAATTTGGATAGGGACACCCAGAATGTTGCCACTTCACCTTTGTAAATCTATCAGCTTTCTTTCCTCTCCTGTCCCAAAATAGAAATAATGAACCTTTGTAGCAACATATTAATGTTTGATGAACTCTGAAGATGAAAGTCAAAATATGACTTCCTGAGTTTTTAGTGCTTTAAATAGATCCAAAGGAAGACTAATCATGTCACCTTTGCATCAACAATACCAAAAAAAAGGTCATTCAATATGCCCTGGGTACAAATTGACAGATGTCTTACACATGACATCAAAAAGCAAGACAGACACCCATTTAATTTTAACTTTAGGAAGCTGAAGATTTGATAGGAAATGTAATATGAAAGGCCAAAAAAAAAAAAAAAAAAGTGGAGGGGAAGCAAATGAACAGTTAAATCTTTGAAGTTTACCTGATATTTCAGTGGTACAGACATTGGCACAAATCCTGAAATATGAGAAGCTTAAAAAAAACCCTTGCTGATTAATATATAAGGCATCAATAATAAATCCTGAAGTCTGAAAACTATTAAAAGTTCTTGGAATTTATACTACGGTAGAAGAAAGACAAGTATGTATCCATATGGAAACTGGAAAGTTATATGTATATTCATAGGGAGTGGTTGGTTTTTTTTTTTACTAAAAGGGGCTGGAATGTGGAAATCTGTTATAGTGTGCCTTTGTGTGACGTTTATTTATTGCATGTTGCAAATGGATGCAAATCGTAGGGCAAAGTATACATGATTACTGTTACGGGGTCCCCATACATCATTCAAAGAAAGCCAGTATCTGAGTGAGACAAAATAAAATAGGAAAGTTGCAATTAAAGCAGCATTTTGAACAAATGAAATCAAACCCATTATAGAAATGTATTTGTATGCCTTTTCTTCACAAATATTCATAAAACCTGCAAATTTTTGAGGAAGCCTAAAGAGAAGGAGAATGAGAAAAAAACCCAAAGGGTTTAAATATTAATTGTATTTTTAAAAGACTGGGATTTCTTGGCTAAGATCATCCTATTCCAGAGAAGAAGGGGAGGTAGGGGAACATGATAAAAGGCTACCAATGCAATATCATTATTTCTGGTAGTTCATGTTTTATGCATGCCTGATGTTTCTAAAACAATTGCTATTTTGTTTTAATCAGTAGGAGTTGGATCTCTGTAATATATATAAGTTCAGCATCACAGGAGGAAAGGAAATTTAACCCTGGTAATTTTAAAAGAGGGACTATATATATGTGCATGAACCCATGTATTTACATAGTCCTTTTAATGTATATATTTTTATACACTGTTGCTAATAAATGCATTTGGTAGCTTTATCAATACACCTTTGAGCATATTTACCCCAGATGGCACATATATCTATTAATCTTTCATTAGTGCATTTTTTTCTAATAATTTAGAAAAATAGAATATTGATGTCTGATTGCATTTTCCTTTCTGATTCAGGAAATAGAAATTAATGAAATTGCAATATAAATAAAACAAATTTGTCCCACATTCATATAGTTTGAGGCATTAATCTATTTGCATGTATTCATAATACAGGTTTATTTTTTAACATTGAACTATTTTGTTTTAATTTTTAGTAGCATTTTCAATTTATTTTTGGAACATAAGAGATTGTTAAAGATACCTTATCCCATTTATAATTATTTTTTTTTAAAGTTCAATCACTCACTCACTCAATCAATCTTTATTGGGTCTTAAACCAGCAGATAAAATACGAAAATCACAATTAATTAGGATAAAGAAGGAAAACTATAATTGCTCCAAAATATCTCAAAAGCATTAGAAGAAATACTTCTATTATATATGCAGTATTAGCAATATTAATTGACTATATTTATATGTTTTACATATTCCTAATTATTTCATAAGGGGATGCGGTAGCTCAGTGGCTAAGACGCTGAGCTTGTCAATCAGAAAGGTCGGCAGTTCGGTGGTTCGAATCCCTAGCGCCACATAATGGAGTGAGCTCTTGTTACTTGCCCCAGCTTCTGCCAACCTAGCAGTTCGAAAACATGTAAAAATGCAAGTAGGAAAATAAGGATCACCTTGGTGGGAAGGTAACAGCGTTCTGTGAGCCTTCAGTGTTTATTCATGCCGGCTAAATGACCATGGAATAGTCATCAGACAGTGCTGGCTCTTCAGCTTAGAAACGGAGATGAGCACTGCCCCCTAGAGTCGGGAACGATTAGTAGGTATGTGTAAGGGGAACCTTTATCTTTAACTTAATTATTCCATGAGTTATCAAAGTTTTATATATCACATACAGTATACAAACATATGCCATTTACATGACTGTACTCAAAATGATATATGGATTGTGTTAATATCTGTATATCTATAGATGCACTGACATTAAACTATATACAAGAAAAAAGAAATTCCAACCTGTATGTCATAAAGAGTGAATGGAGACAAATCTCCTAAAATGAAAGATCCAGGTGCCTTCATTCTAGTCTCATATCGGTTATTATTTACATAAATAGAATATTCTGTGACAACACCATTTGAGTTTGAAGGCAATGCCACAATGACACGTACAGCTGTACTATTGATGATGATGATCTCTGGAGGGAACAGGCTCTCTGGCTCTAGAAATAAAGGAGGAAAGAGAATGAACTCCATTTGCCATTGTAAAAACACGTGTTTAACCAAATATACATTAGAATTTAGATTTAGGAAAGCCTCTGCTACTTATCTGCTAGTTTGTTAAGACGTTTGCACTGTTTTCTAAATGGAGCTGTTATAGGCTCAGAGAATGTGGGAAAAGGGAATGGTAAAAACTGTTGTATCTCCAGCCTTGCCTTAACTTCACTTTACTATAACTTTGACTAGAGCAGAGGTCTTCAAACTTGGCAGCTTTAAGACTTGTGGATTTCAACTCCCAGAATTCTCCAGCCAGCTATGCTATGGAGAATTCTGGGAGTTGAAGTCCACAAGTCTTAAAGCTGCCAAGTTTGAAGACCTCTGGACTAGAGGATTGTGTTTATTTATTTAACTGTGCGACCTCATTCACAATTATTCAGTATAGTGTCATGTCCACCCTTCTCCCCCACAAGTTATCTTCTAAGGGTGACATCTCCCCATAGCTTTTATTAGCATCATAACTTGAATGTGTATTAAATTATTATGTAAATGCTTTTGATGATTACCACAGATAATGATGAAGTATTACCTTTCCCCCCCAAAAAAATAACTCTCATCTTTCTTAGCATTAAATTACACAGATTATTTAAGCATGTCATAAATAGCTATCTAAAGGAACTATTTTTATCTGGGTAAATCCATCTTTACCAGTTGAAAAATTGTACTTCCAGTAGGTTCTATTTTATAAATAAAAAGGGGGATAAACTTTGGCTTTGCCAAGAAAATGCAATTCTGACTTAAAGTACTTTGCTAATGACCTGGAACACTTGCTTCTGGGGTAATGATATTATAATGTTATAATGAGATTTTACAAAGCCAAAAAGATTAGAAAAGCTATTCCAAAAGCATTTGAAATTCACAAGTTGCTTTTTCCACCCTCCTTTCCCTTCCCTCCCTCCAGCTTGCCAACCAGTTTGGAAATATGTCAGGGAAACTCTCTGAGTGGCTGGATTTACATCTTTTATTTCTGGTCAAACAGTTGATTGTCATGTCACAAGCAGCTGACTTCACAGCATTTTTTTTTTAAAAAAACCCTCTTATTTTCATAATGGAACAATGACAGATTTCAACCCTCATAAAAACAGTTAATCATTTTTCAGTTTTAAAGCTGAAACCAAGAGTCAACCTATCTACGTCTGGTGTAATAACTTGCACAGGTTCACTGGTAATGCTGTGAAGTCCACTGAAAACTTGAAGCAAAATCTGATACTGTGTATTTGGATATAATTCATCAATAACAGCACTATTTTCACTTGCGGGGATCTTTTGGGAGTTTATTTGGTCAGTGTCACTCCAGGAAAGGAAATAATATTCAATACTTCCTTGAACATCTTGTAAAGTTGTTTAATGAATAAAAACAAAACAAAAATCTTGTTATGGAAATGAATGGAGAAATAATAACTGCACAGCTTTTGACAGAAAATGACTCCAAGTATGCAAAATTCAAAAATGGCTGGAAGAAATTACAGAGCAAAAAGCAGTTTTCAAACTGGAACTATTTTTATTAGGAATACTGGACTCGAAAATGAATACAAAACTCCAATACATTACACTACACATACTCACTGCAGCAAGAATCATATTCGCACAAAACTGGAAACAAAATAATATACCCTCAGATGAAATAGTAATTAGGAAAATTCTTGAATGTGCAGAAATGGACAAAATGCTATGGAGTTAAAAGAGAGGGATGATTTGGACTATTATGAAGTATGGAATAAAATGTACAGTTGGCTCGAAAATAGAAACCAAAACAGGAAATGTTTAACTTAGAATTGATGAAACTTAAATTGGAGTAATTGAGCAACATTAAACAAAGAGATGTAAATATAAATGAATATATTTATATTTCATTTATAGATAAGAACAATGAATGCTACTATGTGTGTTAATATATATGCTGATGTAATGTTATTATACTACTATCAAGAAGTAAATAGATATGATAGAATAGTGAACTTCAAAAGTAAAATGTGTATGCCGATACAAAAAGCTGTAAAATAACCTTAGATGGTATATATTATTTGTTATGTTATGTTTTGTTTTTATGTATTTGTGGTTGTTTTTTATGTTGTTTTAAAGACAAAACTGTTTAATAAAAACTATTTTTAAAAAAAAGAACTACAAAGTTATATGTAAAGGGTCCAGTTCAAAGATACTCACTAAGTGATAAACTCTGTACTGATGATATAAATATTCTATAGGGGAAATTGCTTTGTAGGCAAATCTTATTGTTCAGTCCCTTCTGACTCTTCATAACCTGATGAATCTCATTTCACCAGGATTGTCTGTTGATAAATTCTTTGAGCTCTTGTAAAATTATGATTGTATTACCTGGAATCTCTCCACCTTGTCTTTTATCAGCCTCTTTTCTACAGTATTGTCTTTGATTTTCCTGGGTCTTTTTCAATGAGTCTTGCCTTTGCATTATGTGTCTAAAATATTTAAAGTTTAACTTCATCATTAGTACTACCAATGAGCATTTTTGCTTTCCTTCATGTAATATTGAATGATTTATTCTTCTTGTAGTCCAAGGTATTTTCAATCATTTATCCAACAGCATATTTTAAAGGCATCAATTTAAATAGTGGTACAAAATCTATTCCAGACATAAGAATATGAGGAGAAATGCAACAGGTTCTTTTCCCCCTCCATACAATACTATAGACAAAGATTTTAAATAATAAAGGCAGTGTCCCAAAGTATTCTTCCTGAGTCTAGAAGAATGTTCTTGAAAATTACGCCTTATCAGGAAGCTTTGCTTCTAGAGCCATTTTATGGGTGGGGAGGGAGTGGAGAGAAGAAGTAGTAGTAGTTTTTAAACATATCCTTTGCCATGTCCACATCTCAGTGATTCAGAATTCAAGTACCATTAGATAACCATAATAGTAGTTAATATTAAACACACTGGAAGGATGGTGAATAAAATATCTATTTCATGCTGAATGTTGATGCCCGGGTGACTATTAGAGACTACGTTGAATACCAGATTCAAGAATCAAGGACTGGGATCATGTATGCATCATCTCTTGCATTTTCTGGGAAAATGTATATGACATATCACTCTAATTATACCAGGACAAAAACCCTCAGCTGAGCTTGGAAACTAAGTAGTGCCGGGCTTTAGGAAAGAAAATCACTAGGAATTCTAGGGGTGTCAGCTAAGTTGAGGTGTTGGAAAGCGTTCTGGATGGTACTCGTAACAAACAATTAGGGAATTCCAATTTGATGGGCTAGAATGAGAAGTTGGAAAATATTCTGGAAGAAAGCAATGGCAAACCACTTCAGTATTCAGTCCTGCAAGGCTGATACCAAGAATCAAGCCTGATTTAAGAGAATCTTTATCTTCTTTATTTGAAGATATCTGCATGTGAATAGGAGGAATGGACATTTTAAATTTCTAAGCTCAGAAACATATTTTAAGAGGTCACAATGGGCAGATTGAAGAACTATTGCTTTTAACACAACACACAACAATCATACATAGCCTGTTTAAAACTTAAAATGAATGCTTTAAAAAAAAGGGGGGGTGGAATCTGCAGGCATAATCTCAAACTCAACAATCTATGAATTGATATTTCCAGATAGGTCATCAGAATAAAGCTTCTGTTTCCATTTTCTTTTATTTCTGTAGCTTAATTTTAGCAGATACTCTGTTTCCAAAACTCCTGTGCTATCTTTCACCTCTGAACCTACCAGCAACAAACACATAAAGAAAGTTGTTTTCAAGTGATTACTGGGATGGAGGTGGGGGCAGGGAAAATTTGTTCCAGATCTGTGACAAAATAAAAACATTTGGAGGCAGGGAGATTGCTTATTTGTTTGGAATAAGGCATATCAAGCAATGAAAGAATAAATAAAGGTTTGCTCTAATGACCCTCACTTGATGTTTAACCTTTGCATTCATAAACAGGTATCTAGGAAATTTGTGCAGTAAGAATGAAAATGAAGCCAGATTGCATTACCTTTATCTAGATGGTCAGAGGTTTGAATTACTAAAGTAATGAAACTTCAGCAGCCTGCTTCAGATCTATTAGGTTTGTCAGTTTTTATAAGCATGCTTACTTCAGGCATCCAATTATAAATATAAATTTTAGTGGAACCTCTATTTGCCAAGAGTCACTAGTAAGTGCTTACAGACAGATTTGCATGTACATATTGAAGAATTAACCTACTGCTTTGATGGACAGGTAATCTGGATTAAATGGATATGTTCCTCTCAAGATGACATAGCACAAATGTGTACATTTGCATATACAGAAAATCCATAATTCTTCTGGAAAGGAAGATCAGGCTGTACAGAAACGGTGGCATTTGAAAATAATATGACAACCTCAAAGAGGTTTGAATTGATGTACTGTCTGCTCAGAACTTCTTATGCGGTTTCACATTGTGAAACGCATCCAGAATCACAAACAAATGTTGACTAACCCAAATCTTCTTAATTAATCACCTCACAAAGAATGTTGTAGAATAAGAAAAGGTGGCGATTAAAAGCAAAACAAAACAGAATATTCTTTGGGAAAGAGGCTACAATGTTTGGAGAACGTATCTCCCTTGCTCAAAATACTTGAATAACCTGAAAGACAAAAAAATGCAAGACAGAGAAAATGAAATCCTTAGGACACCACACAGTTAATTGGTGGAAGTTGCTACCACCAGGTACACTGTTGACCAGAAACATGAATGTCTTTAAATGAGGATTTGATAAATTCTTAAGGAGTCTGAGAATCAATGGCAAATTGTAAGCATGGCTATAGATCAGTGATGGTTAACCTTTTTGGTGCTGAGTGCCCAAAGCATGCATGCGTGTGCGAATGCAAGCACGCGTGCCCCAACCCCCAAAATGCAATGTGAGCGCCCCCCACGTATGTGCGCCCCATATATGTGCGCACGTCCCTGCACATGCGTATATGTCCCCATGTATGCACCCCAGCCCCATGCATGTGCCCTGGCCCCCACCCGTGCCCCATTTTGGCTTCCAGGTTGGTGCAGGAGGCCTTCCAGGCCCCAAACGGGATGCGGGATGTGTGTGAACCCCCAAAATACAATGGGAGCACCCCACCCCTATGCATAATGTGTGTGTCCCCTGCATGCGCCCCCGCCCTCCACGCTTGTGCGGCAGAGAGCCGAAGACCAGATGGCTGATGGGAGGCGCACGCGCACGCGCAGTGGAGCTGGGCTGGGGCAACGGTGGCATGCCAGGCAACATGACTATGCATGTCACTTCGGGCATGCGTGCCATAGGTTTGCCATCACGGCTATAGATGATCTCCACTATTGAAGGCAATAAATATTTTGTTGCTACTGGGCAGATATTGCTACTGTCCTTTTTGTGAGCTTTCCATTTGCTGAAAGAAATGGTTCTTCTTGCATTCTTAATAGACTGTAGCACATATATTTATACACATGGTTCAATTCCCCCAAGGAAGAGTGAAGTTTTCTTTAATATATGGTTTCCCCTTCTTCAGTATATTATGATCCCAACAAGAGGAACAATGATAAGAGAAATAAATTGCTGGGAAAGTTCCTAATGCTAACTGTGGAAGGAAGAATGAGTGGCAACTACTATGCTCCCCTTTTCCTTTTAAGGAACTATTCCTATTGGGTATCTTACCAGAGAAAATTAGTAAAGATAATGTGTATTTGATTATACATGTAATAACAGCAGCAAGGATTGTTTATGCACAAAATTGGAAAGAAGGGAATATACCATTTGAGGGAGAAGTAATTAAAAATTTTTTAGATTGTGCAGAAATGAATAGATTAACTATGATGATAAAGGAAAGAGAAGATTCAGAATATTTTAAGATATGGAATAAATTTTACTATTGGTTAGAAAAGAGATATAAATAAGTTTTATAGACTTGGCTATGGAACTGAGTTTATATCACTTTTGTGGATCACTTTTGTGGATGACCAACAGCAAGATTGGGAGAGGGAAAGGGAGACATTTGGATGAGGTTTCCTGCTGACATAAAGTTAGGTGTGATCAATATTGATATATTTCAACCCCAGGTCAGACAAGAGATGTAGTCAAAATTCTGTATCACTACCAGAAAACTGTTAGGGTCTGGATGAAGATGAATAGATCAAGGCCAGGGCTTCCCAAACTGTAAAGTACAGACAAAGTACAGGAAAATTTTTGGGAAGTGCAGACAGAGTCCAGGGCAGATCTGGAGAACCATTTAAGTACATTGTTACAATAAATCCACCTTTCCAAAATTTCTTTGTAGATTTATGTTCATTTTGGATTTTTACAGCAGCTGTACACTGAAGTGAAGTGTGATGGCAAAAGATTTAGGTGCTCCTGATCTAGGCTCAATCCTAGCAAAATTAAATAGCTTTGAAGTCAGAAACCTTCTGATGATGGGTATATTTCATCTTTGGTTCTGCATGGAATCATGCTTTTCCATGCAGACATATTCATAAATTGGGGTTCTTCCTAGATTCATAGCTCTGCTTTATCGATGCAATGCCTCTAATAGAATTTTCACATCACTCTAGTTTGCAAAACTTTTTAAAAAATCAGACACTGAGGAGTCAGCCATTAAGCAAAGGGAAACAATAACCTTTGTATCTAATTGAAAGCCAGTTGTTTAATGTTAGATGATGGATATAATCAAGAACACTTACTTGGAGTGGTCCATGTCACTTCTATAGCTGTGTAGTTAAGAAGCTTTGCAGCAACATTGGTGCCTTTCTCTGAAAATCTTGGTAATGTTGTAACAACCACTTCTTCACTTGATGTATATCCTACTTCATTATGTACTATCAGCTTATATGCATATGTTGTATTCCTAAAGGATATGATTTATATCATTAAAAAAGGAAAAATAATTAGAAGCATTAAGTGTTGACTTTACTTCAGATTCTAACCAAAAAGTAGGTTAGAAGAAACATTCAGCAGAGCTGCTATTTAACTCAAAAAATTGTGAATTTTTGAGTTCAAAAATGTTTTTCAGTTACAAATTTTGGTAACTATGTCCAAAGAGAGTTATGGCAATTACAAACCCATTTTTTTAAAAAAAGCAGGCTTAATTTATGATCCAATTTAACTTTTGTTCTTTTATCTTCATTTTTTCTCTCTTGTAGCCTACATAGCGCTCACTGTTTCCAGAATTTTTTTTTACACAGTTTGTTTTCATTTTTAAAAATACAATACTTTACATATATACATATAAGGTTATTGCAACTAACGTACACAAATCTGCGCCTATACCACTAATACAATCTATTTCATTTCCCTCTCTTTTCTTTCACCCAATTATACCATAAATTCCAACATTTGTAATAATCAGAATCTTTTTGGTTCCTAAGTAATTTTGTTAATCGGTCTGCCTCTGTGCATTCTGTAATTTTCCAAATCAATTTATTTTCTGTGGGTATTAATTCATTTTTCCATTCTTGCGCCTATAATATCCTAGCTGCAGTAGTGATGTGGAGGATCAAGTACCATTTTTTCTTAGTTATTTTGTCTGGTTTCATTCCTAATAAAAAAAATCTCTGGTTTCAGCTCTATGTTATATCCTGTAATTTCCACTATCCAGTTCTGGACCTTGGACCAATATTTGCCTGCTTTGGAGCACGTCCACCATTGGTGGTAGTACATCCCACAACCATTCCCACACTTCCAGCATGCCGGAGAAACTCCTGGGAACACTTTTGCGATTCTTGCCAGGGGGAGATGCCAACGATATTTATAAAATATTTTATAAATATTTTATAAATATTTTCCTTGTAGGAGGTTAACAAAGTAAGTTTCATATTCCTATTCCATAGTTCCCACTTACTTCAAAGTGGGAAATCCTGATTCATTAATGTTATTCCCAACTCCAGATACTTCAAAAGTATCCTGAACTCTGGTTTTCAAAAATATCTTGCCCTGCATAGAACAATGTTCAGGCAAGGCAATTACAAGAAATTCATAAGACAAGAAAAGTTCAGGACCATATTTCTGCATTTGGCAACAAACCACAGTAAAGCTAACTTAACATGATGTATGAACCTCTCTGTGAGATATGGTGCCAGAAAAGGAAGAGACAGTTATCCAAGCCACTGTGTTTGGTTTGTTGGAAAATCTTTTTACAAAAGGCTTAGATTCAACAGAATTTATAGAATTCAGTCAAGGAACACAGAATAGACAATTACTGTTTTTACACAATAAGATAATATGTATATAAGTATAAGCATGAATTGAATACATAAAATGAATACAATTAAAGGGAACATTAGGACAGGGACGGTAGGCACGCTGGTGCTCTTATGTATGCCCCTTACAGACCTCTTAGGAATGGGGTGAGGTCAACAGTAGACAATCTTAGGTTAAAGTTTTGGGGGTTTTGGGATGAGAGCACAAAGTCTGGTAGTGCATTCCAGGCATTAACAAATCTGTTACTGAAGTCATATTTTCTGAATTGAGTCTGGAGCGGTTCACTTTAAGTTTGTATCTATTGTGTGCTCGTGTATTGTTGTGATTGAAGCTGAAGTGGTCATTGACAGGTAGGACATTGTAGCAGATGATTTTATGAGCTATACTTAGGTCATACCGAAGGTGGCGTAGTTCTAAATTTTCTAAACCCAGAATTTCAAGTCTGGTGCCATAAGGTATTTTGTTGCGAGCAGAGGATTGAAGGACTCTTCTTGTGAAATATTTCTGGACGCGCTCAATTGTATTAATGTCTGATATGCAGACAGATGAGCTGTATTCGAGAATTGGTCTAGCAAATGTTTTGTATGCTCTGGTTAGTAGTGTAATATTACTGGAGAAGAAGCTACGCAAGATTAGGTTTACAGCCCTTAATGTCTTTTTGGTGATGTTGTTACAGTGGGCTTTGGCACTTAGAACATTTGATATGAGTACTCCAAGGTCCTTGACAGAGTGAGGGTCATCTACAAGGTCATGTCCACTTAGCTTATATTTTGTGTTCTGATTTTTTTTGTCAATGTGTAAGACAGAGCATTTATTGCCACAGTTTGATTTTGGCTTAGTAATATGTGAAACCAGTTTTTATAATGTGTAAATCAATTTTTAAGGATTGGAAATGTGGTTTATTCAATGAACAATGATTAAACAAACAGTTGTTTAGTAAAATACATGAACCCAGCCTACAAGTTTAAACATGCCTACCATAAATACAGACTCCAATACCATGCTCCAAGGCGTGAAAGGAACTTAACATATTTTTGACTAAATTAAGATTTTCTGGTTATGCATGATAGGGCCAGATGTCCAAGGGACCAACAGAAGGATATAATGATAGGTTGGGGTTGATGATTTGTTATACAATGGGACATCTTTAGAATAGGACAAAGACAGGCAGGTGGAGGAAGGTTTGTTAAGAAACAAGGACAATAAAACCCTAGATATTGCTTTACTTAAACAAAAATGTCTTCTTAAGAAAAAGCCACAATTAAAAGAGTCCTAGGTCAACACATCATAGATCTATACTCCAAATATCCTCCATAAATATTTTTCAAACCCATGAATAAGCTAGCAATAGAATAGAATTGGAAGGATGCTGGATGCTGTGGACTTTAATGAAATAAGTAAAACCACTCACTCAATATTCCAGTAGTTCACTTCTTACTTTCCTAAGCATTTTTTTTTAAAAAAGCAAAACAAAATTGCACAGAGGAGAAGAGTAGGTAACCAAACCAAACAAAAGAGTGTTAATAAAGGCTCATGCCAAAGGAGATGACAGAAAATATTTCATTACATAATTAACATGTTTGCAACACGGAGATGCAAGGAACGCTTTGAACTATTAAATATGGGCTGTACAAAATGCCAGCATTTGTTTTTATAGTTTTAGTAATCTTACCTGCTAAGACCCTTATCTTCATAAAACCACTGAGTTCCTGAGTAAATATTGTCCCAGAGATTTAAATCTTCAGGGGGATTTGATGCAAGTGGCTGCTGGATTTTACGTCTCAGGAGCTCATATCTAACACAAAAGACAAGCAGAATGGTGGGATTATTTTAACTAATGTTATGACAAAAAAAGGTTGCTTTTAAAAGTCACACGTTGTTTTCTTTTTACAGCTGTAATCTTGTTTTTTAATATTTTAGAATTTGACACTTTCCATAACTTATGTAATTAGTTTCAGAATGGATGAGGTTTTTTCAGCAGTTCTTTTATTAAGGAAAAATTATCTGAGTATGTAATAGAGTGTTTGATGAAATGTTTGCATACCTTTTTAGGATAATTTGACAGCAGCTTGAACAGGCAAATTTGCTTTATATAGAAAAAAAGTTAAGAAAGAGAAACTGTATGAAAACTTAACGAGTTCTCTTCCTAGCATAAACTTTATTTGCTATGTAACTACCCTGATTTGATTTGGTTTAATAATAAATATTTACTCTTGAAAGCTGTGAAATAATAACTAGGTCAGGAGATTATGATAATCAGTCTTTATATCAGTTGCTTTTTTAGAAAACTGCTTTTCCTCAATTTATTTGTAAATGTATCAGGATTCTCTTTGCCCTACAATCAATTTTTCCTTGGGTGACTATTGTTCAGAAGCTAAGACTTGTGCCATTAAAATGACACTTCCAATGAACAAGAAAGTAGCTTCAACAGACTCAAGAAGCTAAAAGTTTATAGATGTGTGTGCATGTATGGTATGTTTATCTGAAAAGAAAGAAAACCAATAAGGCCTCAACACATTCAATGGCCCCAGCAAAACAGAAAATTATTAGGAACAGCAAATAAAATGTAGGAAATAAAATTTTCTCCAGAATTCTGATTTAATCAAATAACACAATTTTAGGACTCAGTCTACTTTGAGATGGAAGGATCAATCTAATTCAAATCTGAATGATTTGCATAGGTTCATAATTAGGTCTGCTTTAAAGCAGACCAAATGTTAATCTCCTTAACATTTCCATATTCTATACTTGAGTTTAAAAATTCCTTACTTTTGAAAAAGTATTTATCAAGCAAGAGACTTTTTCTCCATGAAGTTTCTCTCCTTTTAAAAAGAAAAGAAACAAAGAAAAGAAAAGAAAGTTGCTTCAAGTAGCTATAAATTCCAGCTGTCAAGCCCATTTGGCTACTTATGACTTTGGGAGGAACAGTACATACTATCTATCTTTGGGAGGAACAGCACAAACTATCTTTCCAAGAGACACTGCTTAGAGCAGGTAGGCAGGTAACTATGGCCCCTTTATGACCAGTGGTCTTCAACTCCCAGAATTCCTGAGCCAGCCATGCTCAGCAATACCGGCTCAGGAATTCTGAGAGTTGAAGTCCACTAGTCATAAAGAGGCCATAGTTCCCCACCCCTGGCTTAGAGAAAAGATGCACAATCCCAGGCAACTTTTTAAAAAAATGGAATCAAGGTTCCTGGGAGAAACAAGACATCATCATGACCTTTGCTCCCAAGATATTTTAAGACCCATTTTGAACACAGAATAGTTGCCATGTGAAGAACCTCAACTTTTAGATACTATGAATATATATTTTAGTTAAGACAATGTCCTAAGATATATTTTTAATGACAGCCTTCAGAACAGTTTGCCAAATTTATCAATTGAAGATTCCTTAGAAGAATTATATTCTGAGGAGTATCCCAATCTGAGAGGCACAACATTACTGTACTTTTAATTCCTTTAGTTCATTTGCATCTTTTCCTTTTGACATTTCCATGTGTACTGAGGCATGGATAGCAATTCACAAAAATGTACTTTTGTTATAGCTGTACATATTATTCACCTTAGGTTAACTAATATATACAAGTAGATTGGGTTTAAAGTGCTTTGGTTGGAATGAACAGAAGAAAAGAAAACCACTCTCTCAAATTTCCAAATATTTTATACAGTATTTGTTTCTTTTTGTAAATAAACTTTAATTCCTCAGATACTCACTAGGGAAAATTGAAAATGTAATACCAGTCAAATATCCTGCTGTCTCTCCAACATAACCTCTTCAGTATTTTCAGTTTATCACCTAATCATCACATTTTCAATATACCCAAATAATTTAGAACAGAACAGAACAGAATAGGAATAGCTTTATTGACCAAGTGTGATTAGACACACAAGGAATTTGATGAAGAAATAGTCTCTCTGGGGATGGGGGGTGGGGAAGCTCTATTAATTTCTCCTGGCATCCCATTCTGCCAAAATAGTTATTCCAGTTCATTATTTGTTTGACAATATTACAAGCTGGCTTCCTCCATGAGCTCAAAACACCTTAGATGGGATCATCTTTCTTTTATCCTTTCTTTTATCCTATGTTATCTTTATACTCTAGGAGCAGTGTAGGATTGAGAATAAATGCTTGGCCAAAAGTGAGCTTCAATATCTAAAAAATAATATGAATCAATATCTTCTTATTTATAATTCAACTTCTTAATCCCTATGCCATGCTAAGAGATCATGAAGAAGAGAAAATTTGTTTGTACAAGTTTTTTTTTTTAAATTTGATTTATATGCCGCCCTTCTCCGGAGACTCAGGGCGGCTTATAATGCGCTAAGCAATAGCCTTCATCCTTTTGTATATTTATACAAAGTCAGCTTATTACCCCCACAACTGGGTCCTCAATTTACCTACCTTAGAAAGGATGGAAGGCTGAGTCAACCTTGAGCCTGGCGAGATGCGAACCTGCAGTAATTGCAGGCAGCTGGTCTTAATAACAGGGTGCTTTAGACCACTGTACTACCAAGGCTCTTCCAAGTTAATATTACCTTAATCCTCTCACCAATGTACATTAAATGCATATACTGTAGTATATTTTATAGGAGAGCCCAGAAGGAATTCCTAATAATTAGTCTTTAGTAATTTGCTGGTTATGTAAACTAATTCAGAATTCTTTCTTGCATCTGAATAATTTTAGGTTGATAATAGAATTGTCCAACCCATGTTAAGTATGGTTCCAGGCTTCAGAAATAGAGGCCATTTTGATTCACTCTGAGAAATCCCATTCTTTGAAGCATAAATTGGATGAAAATGGAGTATACATTCCCATTATTTAAAGTGGGAAAATAGTAAATGGCTCTAATCTTCTTTTTATAAGGACAGCATAAATTTCAAAAGGAAGTTTTAAAAAGTGATCTGAATTTCATAAAGTACTGTAGTTATGGAGGGAAGGAGGGCTTGAGCCACACACCTTTAAAATTTGTGTTAAATGCCTATAGGATTTTATATTTTTCACCAGAATCTATAAGAAAAGTAGATACTTTTAAGAAATGAAATGTGCTAAATTTAATAATAATGGGTGCAATATTTTATTAAAATTATATAAATTTAATGCTATTAAATATAACTTTTGGAGGCAGAATATATAGTGAAAATGGATTTTCTAGCCGGGAGTATCTGTGGCAAATTTCAGGCAGATCAGTTGATGGGTTTTTCAGCAAAAGGAAAGGTTGCATCCTTTCTGAATGCAGTCAGGGATTGAGGGCAGGGATAAATATGAGAGATTAAGTCACTCATATTTCCCTAAAAGCAAATAAAGTTCTTAAACCAATCAGGTAGATAAGAAGCCATAAACTTCTTATCTATGGATGGAAGATGGAAAACAGGAAATAAATGCTTAAATTAAGAGTGCCATATCAATTTCTATGCCCCCTCCTCTCTCTCCTCTCCCATTTTGATTGGCATAACTGATGGTTGTCTGATTATAAGGGTCACTCTCATTTGAGGGCAGACCTGTCAATCAAGAATACAATTAAACTTCTTTTTGGTACTTTGGTACTTGGAATGCACGGTGGAAGAAGAATTTTGTGTCTGATTTCAGTTCGGGAAAGGACATACGGGAGAAGGACATCCTGTCAAATGAACCAAAAACTAATTTGAATTGTTCCAATTCAATCTGAGTTTATGTCAAGTCCTAATAATTTCAGGCAGTTCTAGGTAGTCTAATTTGTTTTGATTAAATAAAATTTATGTACAAAGTTCAGTTTTTGGTGAACTCTGATATATTGTTCTTTCCATTACCTTATGTGATGTCCATTGGGTTTAGATGGTGGTTGCCAATGCACAGTAATTACTGACTCATTAATTGGGGTCACAGTCACAGAACTGATATTTTGGGGAAATGTTGGAAGTGTAACCATATATGTTGGTAGACTCTTGGTGCACCCTCCAATGTAATCTCCACCTCCAGTACAAGCTTCTATGGTGACCGAGTAATTTGTGAAAGGGATCAGGTTGGTTACTACATGGCTCATTGAAGTTGTCAAATTGTTAGTTATAGTGATTCGAGGGTTCGGCATGTGGATCTCATAGCTCAACATTTCTCCATTTAAAATAGAAGGAGACTCCCAGGAAACCTAAAGCAATAAGAAATGGATTAGAATGAAAGATTAAGAATTTTACAAGGTTTAAAAAATAGTTCTAACAACATCATGCTATTTATAAAGACAATTTCACTTTCAGGTTTTATACAATCAAATATGAATCCAATATTCATAAATGTTTATCATGGGATCTCAGATTATATATGGTCCATAACCTGATGTTCCAATAGAAGAAAATATTTATACCTCAGGGTTGAACTGTGGAGTTCTTGATACTCTCTGAGTTTGATAGTTTACTTATTGACATTTTATTGTCCAACTAGGTAACATCAGTGCATGGGAATATGGGTTTTGCTGCCTGTTTATACGCAGTATAATATGTCAGTTTAAAACCCAAGACACTGATAATGTTACGTAGTTGAAAAATGAAATTATACAAGCAAACAATCAAGAGCATCATGGACTCTACATAGCCTAATGTGATTTGTCATGACTATACTTTAATCCTAAAAATTATAAAAATCATGATAATCATAACATTTTATTAGGTTTATGCAGATACCAAATTTAAAAAAATATTCGGCATAGCATACACATTTTAAAGTATCTTAAGAACATACAACAAATACAGAAACATTTGTATGTAGGGAAAAATACACAAACAAGAAAATTCTAGCCCCCCATTAAAGGTTAAGTGAGATCACAAATCACCTTTGGTCTATTTGAAAAGCTTAGTTTGAAAATAGTTTCTAAAGGAGTCAAATGAACTTTCAGGGAATGATATTTCAAAGGGCAAGACCTGGAGAAAAATGGTATTCCAGATGAGGCCTAGAAGATTGTACGCAATGGCATAGTTTAATCAACAGGATCCAGGGCATGGACAACCTGTCAGATCTTATTGAAGAAGCAGAAAGGATTAGAGAATGGCAATCCCATGAATAATCAGGACTTGAAATCTATGAAGGGCTTTATAGATAATAAACAGCACCTTGAATTGCATCCAGAAAGTATTTAGTAACCATTGCAACTTGCAATGAAGAGCTGTCAAGATAGGTGTTCTGAGGTGTTAGAACACCTATAGATGTTAAATAAGAAAAAGGAGAATGTTAAACCCTAATCTAGTCTTGTTTGGACTAGGATCTCAATCTCTCTCTCTCACACACACACACCCCATCAACCAACAATGACCGGAACTGACCATGGACAAAGGAGAAGAAACACTGTGAAACAGTGCTACTAACTAACTTCCCAAGTCAGCCAGAAGGATACCATGATCAATAATATCAAAAGCTACTAAGAGATCAAGGAGGATTAGGAGGGTTGTACTACTTCATCCCACTAAAGGTTATCAATGTAAACAATGTCATCTACGTGTTGGCTGGAAACGCAACAGAAAATATTCCATCTAATATGTTTCTTCCAGAGCTCTGGCTGTTGCTATCAGAAAATATAGTCAAGTCTTTTCCTTTTCAAAATACTTTTGGATTTCCTTCTTATAACATCATTCTTCACTGGTATTAAAATCTAATGATGACTGTCAAAGAGTCATTTTTAATCAATCTAGGTGGCAAGTTGTTCACCTGCAAAGTGTGCCATTTAGTTAGGAGTATTTTTTTATATCAATCTAATTGCAGGAAAAGATAAAAAACAGGTTGTCCAGACATTTGGTAAAGTATTGCACACAAGTATTGCACACAAGTATTGAGTTCTTTAAGATGGTTTATACTGGACAGCTTTAATGCATCCTTTTGCCAATCAGGCATCCTATTCTGAATTATGGATGTCTTGGATTATCAGACATAGAAAATATACAATAAAATACCATTTTACTTGCCTATAAACTCTGGGGAAGCTCACGATCAAAAGAAAAAATTATATTTGCATTTACTTTTGAGATCAAAATGAAATTGAGGCTCTGGGAGGCCTAGTTTAGGCCCAGGCCATCTGTCCTGGGCCTCCAAAGGCCCACCTCCTGACACACCCCATGTTTTTCCTGTCCTCTCCTCAGTCCTTGTGCCTGTTTTCCTCCCCCAGGTTCCTGCAGTCCTTCCCTGGGTCTTTCCAGGCTTTTCCCCACCACCACCACCAGGTTCCCCCATGGCCCTTTCCCCTCCCATTCAGTCCCCGCAGGGCTTGGGCTTCCTCCCCACACCCTACTGGATCTCTGGAGCTTTCTGCTGTGCTGCATGAACCACTTTAGGGAAGGAGAATGCAGCTTTGTCATGTGGGCCATGTGGTATGATTCTGGAGGTGGTTGCCATTTTCCAAGCATTCACATTGAGTTATGGTTGTTCAGAAAAAGGTGGCTACTTCTGGAGTTGTGCCATGTGGCTGTGCAACAAAGCAATCCATTCTGCTACCCTAACAGTGCTGCAGAAAGCTCTAATCCAGAGGTCTTCAAACTTGGCAGCTCTAAGACTTGTGGACTTCAACTCCCAGAATTCTCCAGCCAGCCAAGTCTTAAAGCTGCCAAGTTTGAAGACCTCTGCTCTTATCTTTCTTCTCTACTAAAAAAGTGTTTTGCTTCTTTTCTCCACTATTCTTATCACATCATGACAATAGGATAATACCAGATAAAAAATTATGTATTGTATTGTACGCATTGTATTATTTTTACTTTTCTTGTTGTTTTTTTAGAAATGACATTTCCTCTGAAAAGTAATCCTTCAGTCATTGAGATTTACCCATAACTTGGATATGACTTCAAACTATTCTTGATATATCCAAATTGGTAGACCATATGCAACAATATTTCAGATATTTTTTTCAGTCTCTTAGGGTAATGAGCGACTACCCTCAAGATTTGGGGGTGTTTTTTTGTTTTTTTTTTGTTTTATCTCATCCTCATGGGCTTTGGCGACATCTTTCTGATGTCAGTTCCTATTATTTTAGAAGGTATGATAATGATTGGCTAAGGCTCTGCGTGATCCACCGCTTTTCAATTTTTCTACACTTAGCGTGGAAGTTATATTTATGATGTACGAAAAGTCTTTAACACTTTTTCTATTAAGCCACTAAGACTTTTTTCTATTAAGCCACCTGTTTCAGTCAATTCCTATAGGAGTCATTTAAAGCAAAGTTTAATTAATCAGGCTGCTTGAATTTCTTGCAGCCATTTCACGTTTCTAGGGCAGATGCCCAAGATCTGATTAAGTAGCTGTTTCATTTCTATCAAAGAACAAGTACTTACAAGCCAGGAGAACTAGTTATGGAATTGGCACAAAAACTATTTCATTATTAATGTGGAGAAAACTCAGTGGTGGGATTCAAGTAATTTAACAATCAGTTCTCTGCCCTAATGATTTCTTCCAACAACCGGTTCACCAAACTGCTCAGAAAGTTAACAACCGGTTCTCCCAAAGTGGTGCAAACTGGTTGAATCCCATCACTAAGAAAACTACTGCGACTGCATTGAAAAGGTAAGAAAAAGTGACTACTGCACAAACCCAATAAAACAAAACATTTGCAGAGTTACTTGTAGTATCATCCTTCTGGACCACTCTCAGGTTGATACTAGATACAACACGGTCGATTCTACTCCTTTATGGCTACTATCATCCTGCTCTTCTATTAGACCAACAATTCAACATTGCAGCATGAACTGTTGGGCCTAGTCCTGGAAGCATTTCTACTTAACCAAAGGAATGTCTCAAGTTCTCTCTCCCTTGCAATTTTGGTGTCCCTGCTATGCTGAAGACATTCTCCTGGATTAAAGAAGCTTTCATTCCACTATCTAAATATCAAAGCACCTTAGGTTTTCTATCACAGAATAGTTATATTTCCCATTGAACAACAATAACCTTAGAAAACTTTTTTGTAAACATAATCAAAACCTTTCAATTCAAAGAAAATAACTCTAATGAAAGAAAGCACAGTGTTAACAATTCTATAGACCAAGAGTATATTAGAATTGTCCAATCTTTTTTAGAGTCAAGAACATTGCTGATTGTTCTTTTCAACAATAAACTGTATAATATAATTCTGTCCTTGTGAACTGTCTCTCAAAAATCATTTCATATCAGAAAATTTCTGCAGTCTCAGGACATGTTACCAATGTGTTACCAGACATGCTAAGATATGGGAAATTCTAACATTGAAAAAGAAGCTAGCAATTGCAACAAGCCTCTCTATCCTAACTTCACATTGTAGGTTGGTGAGATATTTACAAAAGTACAATAGTCTCAAGGTTTCAGCTCTTTTCAAACCATCAAAAGCTCAGCCTCAACCAAAGGAACATGTTGTCTAGAGATACAACTGTACTAAGTTTTGTGAATTCTACACAGCATTGGATCATTCATATTGATATTATGACTACATAAAAAACAAAACTATGTTACTCTTTATATCAAATTCTATTCCAGTTCAAATAAGGATTTGTACTCAAAGTTTAGAGACTGATTGCTTTGACAATCACAAACTTCTATTAATTGATGTCCTTAATTTCATAAAAGAATAAACTTCTCAACTCTTCTTACAAGAATAGGAAGCTATTTTAAGTATTTATTGACCTGTCCCTCAAGCAAGTGCTTATTTATCTTTTGCCTATAAGACCTCTTATTGATGATATTAACATGACAAGCATGTGGCATAAGAGAACTGACCCATTTATTTTAGCCTTTAAGCAGAACTAGAAAGTCATAAAGCTTTTGCAGTTCTGTAAAATAGTGCTCTGTAAATTATTTTCATTCTTCTCCATAGCTTTTCTACAGAGCTTCTGTTAAAACTGAAGCAATTTTCTAACTTAAATGTTAAGGGATACATAGGACCTTATTCTCTATAGTGTTAACAAGTTTATAAGCAGGTAAAAGAGGATATTTTCCTTTTATTTTCAACCTGCTTTTCTCTGCATATATCCAACTATGCAGTTTCTTCCTTTCCTTTCCATTTCATTATGTAGACTTTATTTCTGTTGACCTATTAGACCAGGGCTGTCAAATATGCAGCCTGCGGACCAGATGCGTCGCACGCTGGCTACACCCACGCTGAGTTTAGTGAAGCGGGAAAAAGTCCCGATACGCCATGACGATGCAAGT